TTGTGGCAAGATTTTCAGTTCTGATCTTACTTTATTGTATTTGTATATCCTTATTTGCAGTTATTAAAACTTACCTACTAGTTTTGTCCTGCTTTAGCGTTTATCTGGCGCTGTCTCCTCGTAGGTAAATTCGTAAACCTGCTCATTTCTTGAAGTGTAACGTGAATAGAACGACCAACGTGTGCCAACGGCCCAAGTCAGTGCGTGCTGGGGGAACTCAGACATACACGCCAAATCCACGCGTCTCTTTACATTTGATATTGCTAGTAGGTTTGTTTGCAGTCTGGCTTTGGCCGGTGTCTGCTTCGGAAAAAAATCAGGAGCTCAGACACATGATTCAGCGCAACCTGGTTTCCATTTTTCGCATCTTTCTCTGAATTAATGTCACTCGTGGTTTCCCGCTCGTAGGACAGCACTTTGTTTAGGCTTCGCCTTCTTTCTGTCCTTCTCTAAAGGGAGCCGTCACAAAGGCCTTCTAGTGCACATCGGATGGGTCAGATAATCTACCGTAAGAAAATCAAAATGCCTCCCTAAAAAGCTACCTCAAAATCCTCGCTCGACTATTATTGATTAAACTTAGCTTGTTTTCGTCCTCACAATGCTAGATAGACTGTCCAAACTAACGTTCGTGCTTGTTGAGACAAAAAAGACGGGGGGGCGACACTGAAGCGTGTTTCGTTGCGTACAACGCTGACTTAAGCAACCACCGACTAAACTAACGCAAAGAAAGTACTGACGCATGCAATGCATGCGGCAAGATGTGGAACTGGGATGGAAGATATCCGGACGTTAACACTGCTCCGAGAACCGAAGAGCAGTTACAAGATTCAAGTAAATGAGCAACGAAACGGCCAGAAGGGTGAGTCCGTGCGCAAGGGTTTGGCAGTAGAACTGAACGAGACGGGCAGCGGATGAGACAGAGCGGGGTTATGTGAGCTGATAGGGAATCCCGGGGACCACTGTGCAATGGTCACTTTAGGCATGCATAAAAATATTTATCCTCTTGCTCATTCGGTAGAAACTTACGTCTTATTTCAATTTTATACTTGAAGGAAGGGTATAATTCGGTCTTCAAAAACTTCCAATTCCCGAATAGTTTTCAACCCGACCTGTCGTTACACTTGCGTTCAGGGTTTCCAAACTAGAAACCGTACATTTTCTGCGTACGGAAAACCGTGCATTTCTCTATAGTATTAAGAGGAGATCATATGGTGTTCATAAAATTTAGCATTGGACTTGGGTCACATTGTCAAATTTAAAAGCCACCTTGGTAAATGCAGATACATGAAGTTTTATGAACGGTCATTTCACGGCAATAAAAAATCACACAATAAAAAACTTGTTGAAGCCAAATTAGACCCTTACTTCGAGTATAGAATTGGAAGATGTAATTTACTACCGAATGAGCAAGAGGATATTTTAATGCACGTCTTCCATGAAATAAAACCTAATGTTTAAGGGCATCGGAAATCAATGGAAAATGCATGCGACCTAAGTAACCATTTGCTTACAGAGTATCGTTTTTGCATACAGCCGGAAAGAAGTTTGTTCGAAAGCTGGCGTCCTGGGATAACTGAATTATTATAGAATTATCCTGCAAGATGATTGGTTTTACAACCCTGCTTAATTAATATTTTCGAGACGAAAACGTGTTTCGGGATTCCGAATGACATTTCATGAGTTAGCCCACCTACTGTAGCTTAAGGGCCGTGGTGAGTCGACCCAATCCTAGTTTTCGCTGTAGTGGGGCTCCCCAAGGTGATCAAAAACGCAACCATCAGGCGTGGTCGGACTTAACCATTACAAAGGCCCCTCTCGACGCCCCTTCCAAAGCATTCTGGGCTGCTTGGCGTTCCTATGATAGGGAGAATGCAACCACCGAACTGCTGAAAGCCAAGATGGATGCCATCAACCCACCTCAGCCCATGACGTCCAGATCAGGGTTCCAATCCAGTATCACAGAGCATTTCCCCCATCAGCACTAGGACGCAGAACAGTCATTTTCTATGGACAACGACATGCTTACTTAATCCAACTATGTCAAAACGGCATACGAATTTGTTTTCGAAGTTTAATTAACAGCAAACCTGTTAGGCCTGGGTTACGGACACCTGCTCCCGTAGTCAAGATGCAGACTTTAGCTTGTTATTGCCAGGAACCGAGTTCCGCTTAGTCCTCGCCGCATAAGAAACTGCTTAAACATGTGGCCAGTCAAGGTAGCGGACTGGATCTAGTAATAGGCTCCGGGAATGAAGCACCGTTTTGCTACTACTCAGATAAGTCCTGTACTAACATTAATGCTGGCCATCAGGAATGTGCTGTAGTCAGGAGACGTTATTCCGCACTTTCTGTACTCCGCTGGACTGGGAATGGGAAATCCGCTCAAGGCATTGCATATAGAACTACGGCTTGCCGACGTAAGGTGCCCGCTTGCTATGTCAAGCGAGCCAAGAGGTTCTGACAGAAATTAGCACTCTATAGCCCATTTTTTGGCCCTTGCCCGTCCGGATGCGCAAAGGTAAAAAAAGCTTGCAAGCTAGGTAAAATCAAAAGGAGGTTGGCAATCAACGTTTTAAAAACGACCTAAAAAACGCGGTGGAAAAGAAGGCGGGAAAATGATCTGAAGCGAAGCAGTTCGGATCTATCAGGCGGTTTCGTCTTGTTCCATGCGACGGTTCTCTACCTGCATCAGCTCCGACAGTGTTTCGTTCGAAAGTATACCTAAGGAGTAAGAAAACCGTTATTTAATCTTGACTGGGAACAAGGAATCTGTACTATGTGATTGCAGTGTCATTAGCTATAAACGGCATGGTAGCTTTACCACCTACAGGAACTGGAGGCAGCTAATTCGACCGGTTATCACCCGCGCCGTTCCACGGATAGGAGCACTTGAAAGACCCGTTACTGCATCCTATGCATCTGTTCACAAATTTACCAAGTCAATTAAGCCGTCCACATAATGCTATCGATGAAGAGCTAGGGAAGTAAGGAATCTACATACAACTACGAAAATGCTATTACAGAGGAAGTTATCTTCGCAATAAACGTCAGGCATTGTCAAACTGGCCGTGACCGTTGATGTGATTCAAAATACGATAGAGAGGGCACCACTACCTTCATAGCGTGCAGTCGTAAATGCAATTTGTTTGGCCATACTCGCTTGTACTTGGTGCGGATGCGAACATGCCTGAACAAGCCGGCCTCGATGATGTTACGGACCGTACCTCCACGTGTGACGATCTGTGGTAGCAAATCTGGACGATTCAATCCATTCTCTTCGCCAACGACGGAGAACGAATACCGAAGGTCCGCGAAGCACTTGCATACCTTGACGCAGTGCGCCTAGCCTGTTTTGAGTTGATCCTTCATAGACGCATTCAAAAGGGCAACTGTGCCGGATCGGGGGCAGAAACACTGATCTCGCGAGGCGGGCGACGAAGGACGTGCCCAAACCCCCTCAGTCATGTTTCATGGGTGACCTGGGATATTCTTACAATGTTATCGCAGCGGATGCTGACTATCTCATTGGTGAAAAAGTCGGTGTACTTCACTAGGAGGATGGTCCTCAAGTAGTAGAGGTCAGATACTTCCAGTTTTCGTTCATCTTCCACACGGACAACGCGGCATTCACAGCCGTAAAGAAAGACTGACTGGACGGATGCATGGCATATGCAGAACATCATGGCGATGGAGATATCGCACAGGGTCCACAGACACTTGTTAAGGCTGGGAAAAACTCGGCGAGCAGTTTCGATTCGGCGGATGTCGTTTTTACTCTGTCCATTTGGCAGCAGCCTCAGCCCGCAGCGTTTGAAACTTTACTTCTTTAAATCGACAGCCACCAATCCCGAGGGGTGCCGTCTCTTGGTCAGGGATGCAGTTTTAATAAACTTTGGTCTTCTCAGACTTTATGGATAAACTGACCAATTTAGCGACTTCATGAACCCGTGACACCGTAGACTGTAGATCACCAACGCTCGAAGCGCCGAGATTAGTCAACCGATGTCCTTCAAGTAGGGCCTTCCCAAGACTCCAATCAGTGGTATAGTTGAATAAAATGAGCTACAGGGTACAACCTCGTCGAACGCCAGATCGACTATCGTATGGTTGGACGAGATTGTTATGAACCAGGACTCGCGCAGTAGTGGGGCGAAAGTAGGCTTTGATCATGGCAATGCTTTTGGCCGGTACACCAAATGCTGAGGCCCCGATTCCGTCCAAGTAGTCCAGCTCGCATAATATTCCCCCACACTACTGGACCAGCGTCCCGAGACACCTTAGGTTCTGAGGACACTGTAGCATGAATAGTAATACAACCTTCGGATATTTCATGCACGAGGTTTCTTGGGAATTTTTAGTACAGGCGTGTCCCTAACAGCTGCCCTAATGACTTACTGGAGGCTGTTATCTTCACATCTTTAGCGCAAGAACTTAACTTAGAGATAGCCAGGAACAGCAACCTTATTTGGAGACGACTCATGTTCGCCATGTTGCAGCGACCTCGCCAGGCTTTGAGGTATTTTGTAAGACGCCTCGCCACCTGTGGACGCGCCCGTTAGCCCGCAGTGCGACCAATAAGTATCCCCTCCACAGCTTTTATCTAATCCTCTGGTAGCTGCATCCCATTCAGTCTGTGTCTCAGGTTGTCACGGACTATAGTCAGGGTCGTCGGTAAAAAAAACAGACTACAGGATTACTTACTACCACTTGAAATATCTAGTAGACTATGAGAGAGAGAGAGGGGGGAGGGAGGGAGAGAGGCTGCACAGTGGTGTAGGACTTATAAAGTGGGAGATGTGAAATTGGCTGACGCTCCAATGGCGACCAGGAAGAGTCGACCACCTGCTGTCACTTACCGTTCTCCAGGTTGGCCACAGCCGTGCTGTTGAGGTCAATTAGTCGGCTGATATCGTTTGCGTCGCCATTTGCAGAGTAGCTTGACTGATCGCTCATTTTGCGTGGGTCAGGTGCAGTAACTTCGGCGTGCGCGAGCGATTGCGCATGAACATTAGACATTTCAGAGGCTCGAGTAGTGTGTGCAGGCGGAGGGGCAGGGGTCATCTGGGGACCCTTGAAAAAAAACGAAAAATTGGCCAGTTGAAGACGACCCCATAGACGGTAGTTTGCAAAGTCATTAACAAAAAGCTTTAGTCAGCAAATAACAGAAGGCCTTGAATAAATTGCCATTTGGGTCCGATAACAACTTGAGCCATGCTGGACGGCAGAGTCCGAAGGAGCGTTTTTCAGGAGAAGACTTGGTCTGGACAGTACACGAACCTCGGCGGTTTCGTGCATCGCCAACAAAAACGAAATCTAGTCCGATATTTGGCGCAAAGGGTCAGGTCTCTGTTTGACAGCACCGAGGAGACGCTTAAAGAGATCCAGGACTTGATTCACGAAAATGAGTATCGTGACAGGTTTACTGCAAAGAATATTGCCGGATGACCAGAAAAGCAGACAACACTGATTCCCCAAAAGTACAGTTCCTCAAAGTCCCTTTTAAAGGGAATGCTGCGAGTGAACTTCTAAGAAGACGCTTTGGTCAACCAGCAAGGGTTCCAATAATATTCTCTGATAACCCTATTTTACGCGAAGAAGGTAAGGATAGGTTGCCAACTCAAACCACCTCAAGGTGCATCTACTCCTTCACTTGCTCTTGTGAAGCAGGTTATACTGGTCGCACGAGTCGGCACCTATCCAAAAGAATACAAGAACATCTCCCGGCATGGCTGGGAAAAGACAAAGCTAGGAACAAAAACGGCCCCACCCCCGCATATTTTGTTGATTCCGGACATCCTATAGACCCCAACAAAACTTTTAGTGTGATTTATAAGGTCCCATCAAGCTACCCTAAACTACTAGGCCAGCTTATGTTAGAAGCGGCCGCCATCAGGTTACAAAACCCGGTCTTGTGGGCACAGAAGAACCTCGTTCAGGCTCCGCACCTATTGTGGTCGGAAGTCGACTAGCTGCATGCAACTCTCCGCGCCCTTCCGCTCTCACCCTGCCCCTGGCGTTGACTTATTACCACCCCATATTTTATACGCCGCTTGTGTTTTAAGACGAATTTAAATCGATTTTTATAATCACTGACAGGTTTTACTTGACCCTGTTTCCATACAAATGTACTGGCCTGACGAGAATTCATTGGAAGTAGACGAATGCTTGCCAAATAGTCTTCTGAATATGCCCGATTATTAAAGGCGTAGTTATTCATCCCGTGTGTGGTGCTACGAAATTGTCAGTTTTGGATGTTTAGGAGGAAAATAAGGTGCTCAACACTCATCACTAAAGTTTCTGCTTCCAGGTGACTGATTAGCAGAAATCACTAAAGAAAAGGCCACCAGTTAACCGGCGCTTATCCACAAGAATACGAGAACACTTGCCGGCATGGCTCAGGAAATGTGAAATTAAGAGCACACACAGCTCCATTTCCGCGTAAAGGGTTGATTCTGGGCATCTCGTGGACCCCAGTGAAACCCTCCGTGTGATTTACAAGGCCCTTCCCCTAACTACCCTAAGCAACTGGGTCCGCGCTTACTAGCAACAGCAGACGCGACTGCCATCAGGCCATGGAGGCCGGTCCTGTGTGCACAGAAGAACCTCCTGCATGCTCCGCGTCTACGGTGGCCAAAGATCGATTAACTGAATGCGTGTCTCCGCACCTCTGTTTCCCCCTGCCCATGTGACACGCCTCTACCTAACCCTCACTGCCACTTACTGTCTCCTCTCCCCTCCTTTCCCACACCCCATTTCTATAAAAAGACGAACCGTATATCGCTAACACGCTTTTCTTTGTACCTCGCACCCAAATAAATGCACTGGTCCGATGAGAATTGATTAAAAGTGTCTGAGAAGTTGCAAAATCGAAAATCTAGGAGCGAAACTTACGGGTTTGGAGCAAACCTCCTCTAAAATTTTGTGAGGTGCTGTTTCATAGAATTCTGACAACTCTTCAGACCTGTAACGTACATAGTTGATCAAAGATGTCGACTTGCATTTTTCTTATGACCTCCGGTAATTCTAAATAACGACAGAATGCAAAAACTAAGTGTTCTACCTGCAAGCTCCTTGCCGTCTCGAAGATTACTCTTCCAAGTTTCGATAAAGGACTCGAGGAAGTGATTTTTCCGAGTAAGTAACTCATACTTGTCCAGCTGAGCTTTGTACTTCGCAAGGACTTCTATTCGCTCGTCTCTGAAACGGATAAAAACAGCGTACGTCAAGTAAGCGTTTGACCCTCACCGTTGTGGTTAGGATCTCACTCGATCCCATTCTGTTCGCCCGCCAGTTTGCTACTGACGACAACGAACGTTGTGCCATAGGACACATACAACATATAATACATAAGCAGCTCATTAAGAGTGCAACAGGTCAGACGCAGACAGCTGTTTCACAGTCTTTACCGATAATCAGTGCGTCATTGATTTCACGAAATGAGATATATAAACATGTCAAGTGGGCGTGTGACCCTCACTGCTGTGGTTAGGATCTCAATCGGTCCCATTCTGCGTGTTCCCCGAAAGGTGAGTAGGGAAGCTAAGTCGATCATCCTCAGAATTGGACTACAGTCACAGATTGCTGTAGGGTATCCCCTAATCGTCACGCTGCAGTGATTCAGATGCCAGTGATTTCCGAGGCGTCTTCAGTCGACAAAAAACCTGTTCGAACTGACGCAAACTCCGCAAAATGCCATCCAATGTGAAGACATCCAGGTGCTTCAATCAATGGATGACCACAATTTGCCGTCTACCGACATCGTTGGCGCGAAATGATGAACGACGATGAAATTGCCGATGACTAATTTCCATTAAGAATCAAAAAAACGCCACTTAACAATATTACCAGACTTAGTGCGCGGACCTTTGATACAAGTTTGGGAACGGAGGTCATATCCAAAAACTGGAGAAACGCCGGTCTCATGTCAATCTTAAGGACATCCTACCACTGTGCAAGAAGTACAGCCATCTTCAAGCGCGTCTTCGCCAATCGCCGACACTAGTACCAGTGCGTAGAAGAGGATGAAGAACTGCGACAATCGACCACAGAAGCTTCGCCGAACCATCCAACATCGCCACTGTTGTTGGCAATCTATGCCTCACTGTCCATCGGGACTAAAAGCGGTTGATCGAGCTGCATGAGAGCATGTGACCAAAGGTATCTCGACTGATCTAACAATACAATCGCTGAGCAATAACTAAAGTCCCTGTCAATGTCGAGGCCTCAATGATGTCACTTCCAGCGTCTGTCATCGGACCGACCTGCACTGGTAAACCACGTCGGTGTTGCAGTAGGCCGTGGTTAATGCTGATGGTATTGCGGTTGCCAGCTTGCTCCAGCTCAGAAATGCAAAATACGGTTCAAAACAGGGAGCGAAGGGGGTGTAAAAGGTGTCCTATGAGGGGTGGCCAAGCGGATGGATTGACCGCCACCTAGAACGCCATGCCGCAAGAAGCGGTAATTTCCCTCACGTCCCACCTGACGTTTACCTCTCATCTGGGCCTAGAAACAAACCGGATGACGGGCAGCTGACAGTACGGCCATCGGTCTCGACGATGTCCACCGTGTGCTCCACAGTAGGGTGAGAGCAGAAATGATGAATTGGGCGTAAATTAAGTTATAGTGATGGTAGACTGGCGTTTTGTTTGTCGCGCTCTGTCCTCGTTCCCCACCTGATTCCGGTGTCAAGATGTAGACAAGAAGACCGGGGGCGGGGGAGGGCGCAGGCGGATGACACGGTGGGGCTCGCACCTTGATGTTCCACTCCATAGCCCCTGGTCCGCACAGCGAATGACCAGGATTGTAAACAACAAAAAGGGTGGCTGGCACGGCCGGAGCTGCACCTAGGCGTGTCGTCACACTTGGCTCGGAACCCACGGAGTAGGAGTGCCATAAAGGCTACATTGAGGAGTCACTGCAGCCTGAATCGTAGAGCACCAGCCGGCCGCTCCACCCAAACCAATCAATGCCTTCGGACAATTGAATCGAGATGCAGAAATCGACATCCGACCAGTCCAGAATTATGACCATACAAGGTCGCTATTACGACAATCTTTCCACGTGGATATGCGGAATTACCGGTACGTTCAGAAAACGCCAACCACTTGCTACGAAGTGGTCTCCAACGAACAACAGTGCGGTCGGTCCGAAGAGTGACTGGACAACGTCGCCCCGCTCACCCGCTGACTGAGATGGCAAGATCACATGCGGCGTCGACGTGGAGGCGAGATTATACGGGCAGCTGTTCTCGACTCGCAACGGCGCCTGAATAGCAAAAATATGGATGCAGTTGGAAGCAAACTGGCCAAATTGGACACCCAGGTCTGTGTTCTGAGCGGCTAGTGTGCCAACTAGCCTACCTCGCCCAAAAGTCTCCCGCTGGGCGACCGCAAACGGTGATTATTAGACAAGCTATGCACATGGAACCAGTAATCATGATAGTTCGACAGTCGTGACCGACGATGTCCATTGTGTGCTCCACAGCAGGGTGCGGACAGAGACGGTGACTTGCGCATGAATTAACTTATGGTGACAGTATACTTGCACTTCATCTCTCGCACTCTCCACCTCCCCGGTGTTATGACAAAGTAAAGAAAACCGGAGGCGGGAAGGGGACACACGGTTGATATAACGAAAACCCGCACCTAGGCGTACCACCACACCTCCTGGTCTACAACATACACCAACTTACTTGTACTTGATACGGCTGCGATCATGCCTGATCTAGCCGGCCACGATGATGTCGCGGACTTTACCTCTTCACGCGTGACGATCCGCGGCAGCAGATCTGGACATCTCAACCTATTCCCTTCGCCAACGACGTAGACCGAATACCGAAGGTCCAAGAACCACCTCCATGTCTTGACGAACTGTGTCGAGCCAGGTTTTGAATTGACCTCCTCTTCGACGCCTCCAATGGGGCAACGGCGCCAGATCGAGGGTAGTAACACTTAACTCCTGAGGTGGACGACGACGAACATGCCCGAATCCCCTCATTCGTCTTTCCTGGATGGCCTGAATTATCCTTGCGATGTTGTCGCAGCGCGCGCGGACTGTCTTATTTGAGACGAAGTCGGTGAACTTCACTCGAGGAATGGTCCTCAAGCAGTGGTGATCAGATACCTCCAGTTTTCGCTCGTCCTCCACGCGCAAAGCCAAGCATTCACAACCGTAGAGAAGTACAGACTGGACAGATGCACGGTACACGCGAACCAGGATTTTATAAATCAAAAAACTGGAGTGCGGTACGGACTCTAATGGGCGCGGCGTGAGTCCGCACGTAGGTGTGCTACTACACTGAGAAAGCCAGCATTTGTTATAGGTGCGCATTACCAATAACGCCTGTCGGAGGCGCATCTAATCCCTATGTTGGTCCAGCACATCTACCGGGTGGCATGTCTTCCGAGCACGCCAGTAATCATAATTAGCGCCATAAATATGAGTGTTGTGCGCAAGATACAGCCATAAAGTTGAATGAAAACTCTGAAAAGAAAGTGATATAAACAGAATACCTAATTTTTTGGGCTGCAGCACGGATTTCGCCAGCAACTTTGACCAAATAGGGCATACGATCGACACCAGATTCATCGCCACTAGCAGATATAGGTTACGTACGCGGAAACTACCTGTCAGGAGAGGGTCGCTGTTTAAAGCAAGATGTCTGGATTCTATCAAGCTCACTCAGGAGTTTCGCTGACTCCGCGTCATTTTGACGTCTTTTTTCAAGTTGACTTTCAAAAAGCGCCTTAGATTCTGCAGTGGAATGCGCACGTTTGTGAAGAACCAGTGTGTTACCTAGAATTTTTCTCTTTTCCTCCTCAATTCTAGCAGTAAAACGGTCAACTTCAGCGCCTGAAAGAAAGAAACGGAAATGCTGGAATAGACTATGCGAGTGCCGGTGAAAGATAATAAACATAAGGCCAAACACGTGGAATCGCAGGCCGGATTCTCCTTAGATTGTGAACAGTGATTTGGAAGTGTGTATGGAGTTCACATATCTTCTTTCGTTATGGGCACATGAGGTTAAAAAAATTGTCACACCAAACCAATTTTTAGGAAAACGCAATCACGGTTGCTGAAAATGAAACATGGACTTGACAAGTGAAATAGAAGCATCGACAAAGTCATTATATGTCGAATGCTCGCTCTGGTCTCATGGACTGGACACCGGCCACCTCCATGACAGGAGCGACAGACAGTCAAAGCACAGCCGTTCAGTTGTGACATAAAGGAAATTTCAGAACTCTAGATTCTGAACCCAGGACTGACTCTCCCTCAACTGTCCACTGAATGTCGTACCGAAAATCCGGACACAATCTATTATTAGGACAAGGATGGGACTGAAGGTAAAGGTACACGGTTTCTCCGGAAGTCTTGTTTTTTTTCGGTAATGATGTCTTTTGATATCGAATTTTGCCGAGAAGCAAGATTGCGGTTATTTTTACCGTTAACAGTTTTCTTGTAAAATTTTCGTAGACCAAGTATTCGACAAAGGAAATGCTTAGAGGCGTTTATATGTGCCTATACAAGCTCGCAAACACTTTTCGCTAAAACGATAGCAAATTTGGTCAGTGGGAGAAGCCACGCTTTCCAATTTGCACAATGAACATCATGGTAATGTGACGAATGAAGAATGTCTCTGGGGAACTGACGTTTCCTCTTCAGTCTACTATCAACTACTCCACCACAACCAAAATTTATCTAAGAAATGTGTTAAGTGTCATGGTTTTTATACAAAGGATTCTGCCGGACGCTGACACTGGGCCATGGCGGCCAAGTAGTTCGCTTCGTTTTTCATGCGAACTTGTACTTGATACGGTTTTGATCATGTTTGACCTAGTTGGGGAGAGTACACCTTAACACCTGACGACCAATGGGAGGGGATCTGAAGAGCTCGATCCAGTGCCTTCACCAGCGACACAGGCCGAATACTAAATGTTCATGATTATTGACGGAGAGCGTAGAACCAGGTTTTGGGTTGGCCCGGTCTTCGGCGCCTTCAGTTAGATAGCAATGTCGAATCAAGAGTAGCATTACTGTGCTCAAGGGATTGCGAGTAAAGTGCTCAAACCAATTAATTCGCCTTCTTGGACAGTCTGATTTTCCTTCGCGATACCCATGTGATTGCGGACTGCCTTAATCAAGATGAATTCGACATGCCCGTCTGAAAAGATCCTTCTGACGCAGCGGAGATCAAAAAGCTCCGGGTGTTTGTCTGTCACGTGCAAAGCCCAACACTTACAAACATAAATGAAGACTAATCGCAAGGATGTACAGAACATGTGGGTCTTCACGAAGATTGATATGTCGCATACGGTTTGTAAACATCTTCAAAAATCATCAAAATCCTACGAATACATTCTATTCGGTCGACGACGCCCTTACTCTTTCATTTAGGTAGCTACTTGGCCTCCGGATATTTTTTAAAGCTGGCAGTGATTAATTACAATAGGTGCCTTCTCTTCGTCGGAAACTCAGCTAGCAAATGTTCTGGTATTTTCAGGGTTGATAGATAAATTAATCGACTAAGCGATCACGCTCATCTAATATATTTTTTTGGCCAGAGCTATATCACCAGCAGGGCAACATAGTTAGCTTATTTTATGCAACTCAGACGGTCTTCTGATAAAAAAAATTAGTTACAACACCGCGTATTGTCACACAGAGAATTCAGTCGATGACGTGGTTAAATAGAATGAGTGGGGTAGCGCAACCCAGTCTAACAGCTGGGAGAACACATACACGTACTCGCTGGATGTTGACGTAATATTAGGTCATCGTAGAAAGATGCGTTTACCGAAATGGCGTCTGCCTCTACTATTTATCACAGTTAAACATGGTAAACGGAATCGACCGTTGTAGTATAGTCAACAAGGATAGTGTATTATTGTTATTAGCCGTGGCGGTGTCCGGTAATGAGACCGCGCTTTGAATATTATCTCGATGCATCAACGACCTACATCAGCTGGGGCCTTGTTAGGTCACGTCCCTGGGTCATACATGCAGTAAAATTATTTTATCTTCGTGAAAATAGGCAAAAGAATCGTCTATTTTCGGTTATCCGTGACAGCCTCATTCTCCGTACCTACCCAATCATCTCATGGTGCCGATGGGTCAGCGTCGACAAGCCTAACTTCACCGGGGATGCAGTTCTCTCTGGGCGCCTTATTCCAAGGCGGTTTCAGAACTTTGTCGATGTCTTCTTTCTGTCAGCGATGAACGCAAAAGACGGTACACGTTGTGAAAAAGACGGAATTCAGCTCTTCTTCGATTAGGACTGCAGCGTACGAGTGAAGTTTTGCACTCAAGGTCTAAGCCATGCAGGGCTGTCGCGATTTCACGACATGATGGAGCCTGTGAAGTATCCTTTTAGGCGTATGCGAATGATATGCGGTAGGTTTCGTAAGCAATGGAGTCACGCACTGATTTACTTTTATTCACCCAACTGCGAAACAATGAACAAGTTAGAATGCAGTCTCGCTATCCAAATGACCGTCAAAAATCGAAAAATCACTGTGGATGGGTTTCGCAAGAAACTGAAACGGCTCTTTTATCAGACAGACTAGCAGTTAACAGCTGTGTATAAACGGGAGAAGTACTAAAAAAGGGTCACTCCCGCCGTGTGTACGTTAGATGGTCACTGAGTAGTTATCGTGCGGATATTGTTTCGTTTGCCCGTTCCGCGAGAACAGGCCTCACAAAATGCCTGGCAGATGAGCCATAAGAAGTGATATAGTGGAAATTAAAAGAGGACTTCGCACTCTTGACCTCCGTTTTCGGGGATCATGGGTAAAGGGTTTGAGGCTAAAAAAACAGCACACATTTACGCTGCAATGAACACCGTACCGTTACTCTGGGCTCTTGTCGAGAAACATTTGAAAATTCATGGATCAAATATTAAGGGTCCATCCCAGACTAAGCAGTTTAGTTAGCAGGCTATGTGTTTGGATGAGGGATGGGGATGGCATCGGCCTCTGTAGACACCGTAGCATGGATCTTTACGCTAGTCTAACAGAATAATGGAACTTTTCCGGCATCTCAAACGTAGGCGGGTACGTAACAGTCACGCGAGTTACCCATTTTAAATTGATATCCCAGTGCAAATGGCCCAAGAAGAAATGATTCTGTAAGTCAAGCCCAGCTTTCTGAATGATTTTTTTCGCTCGCTTTATCTAACTGTTCATCGGAGGTTGTGCGTCACTGTTCAAATGAAGCTTGGGAAAAGGGAATAATCACCGAAAAGGCGACTGTGCCCAGACTACCGGCTCAGGTTTGTATTTACGTGGACCCAGTCCACTCATAGCTAATGGTATTCTAGGGTTCAGTGGACAGCCTCGTCTGCAATTGCATTTAAATGGCCGATCTTCAGGTGTTCTCGTCTACCAACAACTGCGGGCCAATTCCAAATTCGGATTCGCAAGACTTCTACCGAGAAGTCTAATATCGTTTTATGAGGCGACTAACATTTGTAATAGGCAGAATAGCATTACCGACGCCGGTAATGATTGTTGCAAAAAGCGCCTTCTTACTAACATGAACGTGGCTACAGTTATTTCTAGGCCTGATTAAGTAACATGCACTCTGAAAGCCAAATATAACGCACAAAACAAAAAACCGTAAAAACGAATAGCCAAAATGTTATTCAGAGGTACCCAATTCAGCAGTTATAGCATGTAACTTTGACATTTCGAACGTCCCCCCTGCAAAGGCTCTGTTTCTATTGTCGATTTTAATTATGAATTCAAACAAGGCAGCAAATATCCCCCAAAATATATAAGTTACTTTTTGACAATTCCCCGGATAATTGTCAGCATTTTATTGAAAAATATGACTTCAAGAATTCCTTCTACTCTCTCCATAAAGTTTTGTCTGTAAACTTTGTTTTCGTGAATTGAAATGCAGTCACATGGCAAACCAACTATTTGCGCATTCATTCCCTCATCGGTCGGAAAATTCTCTAAACATCACAGCAAATCGATCAAAGTAGACGGGTATGGAGCAAGAACCAAAACTGATTGACTTCCTGATCCGACCTTGTGTTCATTCCTATGGACTACCTCGAATTATGCCCCAATTTTTCGTAAATGTTCATGGTTGCGTCCGAAACGATAACTTAAACTAGAAATAGAGAGCGTTGTTATTCGAACACATGTTTCGAAAAGTTCACTAAGACTATTTCATTTTGCGAGGCAAGGTATTCTTCACACTCATCTCTCAATTTCCGTTCTTTTATTGGCGCATTTCCGGCCAACATAGGCTTTGGACACGGTTACTAAGGCCGCAAAACATCTTGATTTATCTTTTGGACAGGTGTGAGCCTGTTGGAAGGATTCGTCAATATAGGGTCTGAAGAGTATATACATACAGCTGATCGAAGACAAAAACACTTTCGTATATTCAAAGAGTCTACCTTAGAGTACCCGAACTGAAGTTAGACGTATGGCAAATAGGCACATATTTCCATTGAAATAAATTTACTGTCGGTCAGACATAAGCGTAATTTGACTGAATTGTCATCAAGTAAAAATACACCAGGCATATTAACAGCCTATAAGTTTTTATCCAAATGACCGGACGAAAGTCCGTAGTGGCCTTCAACAAAATCAAGCTGGAGAGGATGCTTCGAACATCAGGTTTGTCGGATTTTCATTCGATAGTTCTTACGGCACATGATGAGCGATTTAGTCTTCTTATTTCATTTCAGTTCAGTTTATTGAGGGAAACAGGTGTAAGCCTTGGAGTACCCTATTTGCAACGTAAAAAATGTGTGGTCTAGAGATAAATGTTCTGGGTTGAAATTATTAAAAAAACGTCCATAATGTTAGGACAAATTTAGAACGAGTTACATGGGGTGAGCTCAACTTCTCATCGCTCTTGGTCATGTCGGAACATAAATATGTCAAGACTCTTTAAAAAACCTTGTATTCATGGTGACATCATAACGTCTGCAGGAAAGGCATTCCATGTATAGACCACTCGAACAGAAAAGGAGAACTTCCGCACAGCCAGCCTTGCCTGCTGAGTGCGCAGTTTTAACGGGTGACCTTGGAGGTTGGTCGTGGTAGCAAATTCAAAAAAGTCCTCGAAGCCCGACTACAATCCAATCCCTTTACAATGCGGAAGGCTTGCAAGAGATCCCCACAAAGTTGCCTGTAACCCAAAGGGAAGAGGTTCTGATTTACTAGGGTGGTTGCATAAGGAAAGAATCTTTGCTCCCTTACCATCTTCGTGGCTCTCCTCTGAAATCTTTCAAGGCAATTTTGATCCTCAACCGCCCACGGCCTCCAGGCTTTTATGCCGTACTCTAAATGGGGCCGGACGAATATTCCGAATGTCTTTGAGAAAGCATTTTCGTCAAAGTCCACAAACTCACGCTTGATGGCGTACAGTAGGGACATTGCGCTTTTTGCCAATCTCGAACAATGGTCGGATGGCTTTAGGGAACTGGTCGTCAGCATACCGAGGTCCTTTTTGGGCTTCGACCTCTTGTAGGTCTGCACCGCCCAGAAAATAGTCTGTTGTGCTGGCGGATCTAGCTGTGTTGCCTAGGCGAAGTATGCTTCATTTGGCGACGTTGAACCGCAGGAGTCAACGGTTTGACCACTCCTCCAACCGATTCAGGTTCATTTGCAGTCTGTCCCCGTCGGCAGGGCCCCGAATTACACCCCATATCTTCATGTCGTCGACAGACACTGCTACTTCACAGTCTAGAGCTCCTGTGACATCGTCCGCCTAGATAAGGAAAAAAATGGGTTCCAATATTGAACCCTGGGGGACACCACTCTCGGCTATAGCAGGATATGATTTCCCCCGACCGATGCGCACAACCTGGTGTCGACCCACAAGAAAGTTTTCGATCCATTTAAGGAAGTTGCCACTGATCCCTATTTTTTTATTTTATGTGAGAGCCTCTGGTGTGGCACTGTGTCGAACGCCCTCTGGATGTCGATGAACGCTATGTGGACCGCGTGCCTGCCGTCGAGAGCTCTGGTCCAGCTCTGGAGAGATTGCAACAAGTTTGTCGTGCATGGTTTCCCTTTCCTGAACCCATGTTGGCATTTCGATAGCAGGCCGTGAACTTCCAGGAATTGCAATAGTTCACGCTTTATGATCCTATCCATAACTTTGCAGAGAATGCATGTCCATTTTATGGGCCTGTAATTTGTCCTTGCCCTGTTACCTACTTTGTGTAGCGGAGTAATATGCGCCAGCCTCCAATCGATAGGAAGTGTTACAGTGTCAAATGACGTTTGAAAGTGCATTAACAAAGACACACAAAGCTCACTGGCAAGTACCTTGAGAAGCTTGGGTGGATTCTCGCCTCGTCCTAGCGACCTCGACTCGTTTAATGCCTCTAATTCTCTTCGGACAATGCCTTCTGAGAGGAGTAAATCACTGAAGCTTGAGGTCGGCAGTTCTGCTGTGGAGGGAGGAAGGAACCTTGCCTCGTTTTTGTAGATTGATTGGAAGAACTGTGAAAAATACGCAGCCGTATCCCTACTATCAGCAATCTCAACGCCATTAGTAGTCCTTATTAAGGGGCTTTGATGCCCGGAGAGTGATTTTGGTTTTTGCGTTGCTTTTTGTGGCAAGTTCTTCTCGAATTTCCGCCGCGTGTTCATGATCAGGTTCCTCAGTTGAGGAAGTGTGTTCTAGGGAAAACGACCACTTTGTTCCCAGCCTGCGACCGCGGGCCACAGAACCTTTAGAAAGGCGTCTAATTTACATTTACTCCTGTGCGTTCTGGATCACTTCGGACGATGGCGTGCCGGCCTTTGAGAGTGTTCTAGAACAGTAATGCTTACGGCGTGCGGGCCGCGGATCGGCCGCCTGATGCGCGGGAATCCTCCCGGAAACTTCTCGAGCGTTCGACCAGCCATTGATTGGGCCTCACGCGTAAGTAAAGTCATCACACCTGCTCGGCGCAGCAATGCACGCCGGTCAGCCGTCTAAGTTCATGCGCGTACCACGTTGTCGGCTCTGTCGTTTGTTCCACGCGTTGTCGAGACTTCCTTTCGCCTTAGACCATGACTCCAGGCCGCTTGCTCTTTCCATAATAAGTCTGCATGATGGGATAAAGCTTGCACAACTTGTGCCTAGACCTTTTTGATGGATAATATAGAGAATGGGTTGTTGTGAAAGGCTATGGGGTTATGAATGTTTGCATGGTTAAAACACACAGAACTACACTTATTCGAAAAAACGCCTGCCGATTTGAACATCACATCCATAAGCGCAGCATTCCGCAGCAAAACTTTCAACGCAGTTTTCCGTTTTCTTTTGATTATGAATAAACACACCTAAAACTGTCTGCACAAGTGAGCGTCAAGGAGCTTGCGAAATATCGTCGGTGTAAGAGAGGGATCATTGCGGACCCACAGTCCTCTTTAGATTATGAGTGGGACGTCGAGTATCAGTTACCAAATGTTCCCATTTGATATCACTGAATAAGTGGGACCAGATGAAGTCGAGTAGAGGAGGCTGGAGGCCGCGGGCTTCCATTTGTGCCAAATAACGTTTATGCGACGTCCTGCTGAAGGCGTTACTGAGGGCAAAGATGATAACCACTGTGAATTCAGTCGTTGAAACTGATGCCGTTCACCTACGCACCACAGCAGGGTGAGAGCCGGGACAGTGACTTTGAGTGACTTCATTGTAGTGATGGTAAACTTTCGTCTCATCTGCCGCACTCTCTCAACCTCTCACATCTCGACCCGATGTTATGACAGAGTCAGGAATGCCGAAGGCGGGAGAAGGCGCAGGCAGCTGGCACGGCCAGATCCACACTTGGCGTACCACCTAAACCTTTTGTCCACAACGTGTACACAAACATCAGGGTCATCACCGAGATGCGATTTTCTGTGACTCTAATAAGGCGTTTGTTAGTACACTTCGTTGACTTGTCTTTATAACTATTTGGAAGTTTGGAATCGCGAGGACAATTCAAATGAATAAATGTTACCTTCCTCCCAGGCTGCTAACATCTACTGTTGGCAATACATCACGTGAAGGATTTGAGTAAAATGTCTTGTACATCAAGGTTCGGTGTTAGATCATCTTTTTCCATTACTCATATCAACTATTTCGCTTAGGATCTTTACCGCGGGAGCAATGTTCTTTGTTGACATGGAAATGTAGAAAATAAGTAAAAGATAAGATGACACCAATTAATTGTGCTCATGGTTAAACCACACTTTAATAGTTTCTCAGTAAACCGTCGTTTTTTGGGATTTTTCGTATGTCTGGAATGAAAATCTTTCCATTTAACCCTCTGTAAATGGCGATGACCAGAAAACTGATTTCTCCGGACTCCCTTTGTCAAAAGAGATGTCATACTTAAAGACCAGAACTCGACAAATTAAGAACGGCCATAATTTACAGTCCTTGTTTTGCTGTGGCCTGGTTGACAATCAGAGGAAACTATTTTGCATGTTTATTTGCCAACCACCAATGTACCTTGATCATCTTCGGTACAATAGTCCACGCGACCTTCTTTCATTTCTTCCGCTTGCATGCATAGTAAAGCCTTGCTTTCCCATCTTGTTCAAATTGCCGTAACTTGAAACAGTATCTCAGGATTGTTTAGATTATTCAGAATAATCCAGAGTTTAGGACAATATTGTGTAAGTTCTAAATTTATCTGGATTATCGTAGCCGTTGGGCTAGGGACAACTTTTGTTGTATAT